ATTTTTACTCCATGACATCAAACGTATGTTAAATTTACTTGTCACACAAAAGAGTAAATAGCTAATGGTAGGAATGATAAAAACAACAATCCGTTAATTATCAAGGATTTATTATTTTAGCATTTTGTGTAATTTTGTTTCTATTTACTGCATTGACTTACATATACCACCCCAAATATCGCGCATTTAAAGTAGGCTGAATATCACCCGTTAATTTTAGGCATTTGCATTTCCAAATGAGGCGCTGTAAGCATCAGGGTATAGTAACCGAACCACCTTACCCAGTTGGTTTTGTGATGAGTACAACAGATTTTACTTACTGTGATGGTTTCACTGAGCTACGCTGATCCTGTACATTGTTCAAACTGCCTTCAAGAGTTGCCTCGACATCATATTCTACGCGGATGTTTGGGTTAATGAATTACGTCATTTTTGTCAAGATGTTATTTCCGATTTGGTAGATACCAACACATAATATGTTGAATATATAATAGTGTACTGCCAGTATATTAACGGAAAATTATTGAAATAATTAAATCTTAATAAAACGTTAATTTTTCCAGTTGATATATCATGGTCCAGATGCCCAGCAGGCGGATCAGCCATCGTAGTGATGGTCCAGATTGTTGCTCGAATCGCATTTCTCGAATGCATCTGTCGTGATCTTCGTATGATTCGTTCTAGTTTCACATGATTTCTTGGATGAAAATCCATTTACCAGAATATTTCAGTGATTATGACCACTGCGTGCTAGAAAGATGGGAGCATGATCCTTTACATTAGCACTACCTGCCGCATTTATCGTTGAAAATGTCCACATGAGTAAAAGTTGTACTTGAGCCCATGAATTGGGCTGCAGCATTGTGGGTGGTGATGATGGTGCTACAAAAAGGAGCAACAAACTGCAATTCCTTAGTGGAGACAATCACCTACGATGCAGCTGCACCAACCGTGCATTCTGAGCCACAGCTTGCGACTTGCCTCCCTCCACTGAGGAATACTGCCATCTGGCTATAGAGTACACCCTGTAGACCGCGATAAAATCACTTATTCCACTTATACCACTCCCTTAATCAAGATATGAGTTAATATCTATCAGCCACGGCACACGCGTACAGTACCAGTAGCCAGTGACCGACTACTAACCGACTGGTGACTGATTCGCCAAATGGCAGAGCGTATGCCGAGTGCCAGGATCTTGCATTTCGCTTATTTATAATGCTAGTGTCCTTAGCCTAAAAGTGGTTGTCCGTTCAATTTCAGCATATCGCAGCTATGTGTTGGCCAGTGAAGAGGAACTGAGCAGGAGTCCTAATCCATACTACTCTCAAAGATATGCATTCAAGTTAAGACTTCTAAGAAAATGCAGGGTTTGATACTAGAAAGCTGGGAATCTAAGAATTATAGAAATTGAAAATCGGCACAGGAACGTGTGATGGAGAACTCAGATATTTCTAGCGAATAGGCTTTTTCTCATATATTTATTATTCAAGGAGTCAAATAGTACAATGCTTAATTCTGTTTAAAACACCAATAGCGTGATAAGTACGTAATAGAGCGATTAGCGATTCGAGTAAATTAGTAATAGTTTCGGCATTCACCTCTTCCACCTGACTAGATAGGAGCATTCATTCCTTCATTCATGCAGCTATCCATCGATGATATCCTTGAATGCAATGTACTTCAGTGTCCTCCTACTTAAATCCAGTCGGTTTGGTTCTTCTC